TCAAACTCCAGGAGGTCGAAGCAGATGACCGCTCACCCTGAGCCTTGTTCTGCTGGAGGTTTCTTCCTGTTAAAAGGGCCATTTTCCTTTCCACTGTTGCCAGTGTGCTTGCTCAAGATGGCAGACTGCGACAAAATGACGATTCAATGCAATCTGCTGACTTCCTTAGATAGAAAACTTTTTCCAAGTGGCTTTTATAATGTATGGGAATGTTTTTGTACAGTGCCCTGAGACGACTTCTGCCGTGACTTAGAACTGAATTCAAAATCTTACTTCTAACCTACAAAGCTCTCAACAACCTAGCTCCATCTTATATTAGAAATCTTATTGTTCCATATTTTCCTAACAGAGCACTTCGCTCTCAGACTGCAGGCTTACTTCTGGTTCCTAGAGTTTACAAAAGCAGAATGGGAGGAAGATCTTCCAGTTATCAGGCTCCTCTCTTGTGGAACCAACTTCCAGTTTCTGTCTGTGAGGCTGACACATTGTCCAGTTTTAAGACTGGGATTAAGACTTTCCTCTTTGATAAATCCTATAGTTAGGTTTGGCTTGTCATGCTGCCATAGACTTAGATTACTAGAGGACAAATTGACCTCTTTTCTTAAAATAAATTGCTACAATTGAATAGTTTTCATTTGAAAGTATTTCTATATTAACATGTGATTCTCGACCTGCCATTGTGTATCTGTTCCTCTCAAACCCAGCCAGTCACAGCAGATAACCACTTGTCCTGAGCCTGGTTCTGCTAAAGGTTTCTTCCTCACGAGGGAGTTTTTCCTTTCCACTGTCGCCTTCATGCTTGCTCAAGATGAGAGTTCTGTGATGAAGTTAAACTCAAAGCAGTTTGCTCCTCAGATAAATAAAGTTAATTTACTTTTTATGTATGTGAATGTTTCTGTTCGGTGCCCTGAAATGACTTCCGTTGTGACTTTGTGCTATATAAAAAAACTGAATTTAACTGAATAGAATTGACTTGGCGCTATATAATTAAACTGAACTGAATAGACAAAGGCAGGTGGAAAAGCAATATTCACACAAAGCAAACAACCTAGAGATCATGTCACACAGTAACGTGATGCTCTTAAATATACTTTCAGTCTTTGAAGACAGGAAGTCATGAAATGACACCTCTAACAGAAAGTGAGACTCTGTGTGGGAATGGAAATCAATCAGCTTTCTATTCTTCCTTTCAGTGATTGCTCAGAATGGCAGCCCCAGTAGAACAGAGCGAGTATACAGGAATAAAACATGGATGTATTGTTCTTTTAAATTTTTATGCGCTTTCTTGCGATGTGGTTGTGTGTTGCCAAGGAACATGACTTGCGGGCACCTCTCAACCTGCAGTGCCTCAAAACAAGCGCAACATCAAAATGGCTCTCATATGCACTTCATCAAGCATGCAAGCATTCCATCAGGGGCTTCCTTTAAAGTGTGCAGGTAGTTGGCTCTCATCAGAGACAGATGCTCACCAAGGTTTCCTGTTTGTTCCAGTTGGTTACATAAAATCATGCACATTTTAACTAGAAATTTCAAATGTTTCTACATCTTTACTGTCTGTGAAAAGACCATGGATGTTTTTAATCACCCACTAACAAAAGTAAGCCAGCCAATTATGTTTTTGCCCATGTCTGGGTGTGATTGAGATTATTTGTTCGTATAGTAACTTAGAACTAAAGAAATTGCATTTCCTGTGAAAATGCAGTGTGAATGCTTATTGCTGAAGAACTTGCTTAAAGAACAACTGAAATTAGCTAAAAACGTGCTGAAATATATGCTGAAATGGAAGAACAAGCCTAAGTTAGCAGACGAAAGCAGAAAGAACACATAGTTGCTGAATTTGGTTTTAATAAGCAGAAATTAGCACAAAAATTAGGAAATTAACAAAAAAAAAGCTGAAATTAGCAACAAAATAGCTGAAAATGCTTAAACTAACAGAAGGAAGTGAAATAAGCTGAAATTAGCTAAAAAATGTGGAATTAACTGAATTTTTTTGTTGTTGCACAAAACAGCTAAAAAGTAGCTGAAATAGCAGACAAATGCTGAAAGGAGCATACCAAGCTGGAATTAGCAGAAAGAAGTTTGTTAGACTGAAAGTAGCAGAAATTACCACGAAAAACTTGAATTTATCTGAAAACAGCTGAACCTAGCTAAAATTGCTATAAAAGTAGCTGACAAGCTTAAGCTAGCAGTACAAAGCAAAAAGAACGCGTTTGCTGAAAGAAGCAGAAATCAGCAAAAAAAAGTGGAAATTATCTGAATAAAGCTGAAATTAGCAAAAAGCAGCTGAAAAAAACGGGGGAAAAAGCAGAAAGTATCTTAAATTACAAGAAGGAAGTGGAGAGAGCACATTTTAGCTGAATTAGTCTGAAAAAAAGTTGAAATGAGTGCAAGAAGTGTGGAATTAGTTGAAAAATATTCAATAAGCATAAAACAACTACATAGTAGCTGAAATAGTAGAAAAAGCTGAAACTTGCAGGAATAAGCTGAATGGAGCATAACCAGGTGAAATTAGCAGAAAGAAGTTAGAAGAAGCAAAAAATGTAGTTAGCAGAAAGAATCTGAAAGGAGCACAAAACAGCTGACCCCACCCCCACAGCTGAAATTAGCTGAAAGAAGCTGAAAAAAGCTTAAAAATTGCACAAGGAAGCTGAAAGAAGCTGAACCAGAACAAAATGTGAAAGGAGCAGTAAAAGTTGTAAACAGATTTGAAGGAGGTAAAATGAGCTCAGTTCATTTTTTTCTATGAGAAAAATGTATCAGAAAAGGCTAAATATTTCAAAAAGCTAAAGTTGAAGCGATACCAAGTGTCATATCAGGATTGTCCTGAAAGAGCTGAACGTTTTGCTTGATGATTTGTTGAAATAGCTTCAAAACTGCAGGAGGAGAAACGCACCGGAAAATGTACAGAAGAAAAAAGGATCACAATAGTGTGAATGCTTCATAAACATTCACACTATTGCAGAACATTTTAACTTTTGGAGTCAAGTCACTGGGTGCACATCAACAAGGGATTAATTTTGGTGTCATCCCCATTCAAGATGGCTGCCACAGCCACTGACCTTGGAATTACTAGTTTACAATAGTCACCACTGCTAACTATTAGCCAACACTGAAATGGCTGGGACTCAGTTTGTCTTACAAATGTTGAGCTAAATTTTGAGGTAGTAGCAGAAAGTCATCCCCACTGAAGGCTAACGCATCAATCTCACAATATTGCATGAGATGGTATAATTTTAGTTACAAGGTTTGACCAAAACAGCTATAACATTTTTTTCTTTCCCAGCCTAAGATGAGTTTTAGAATTTTCATTAGATTTCAGGATTAGCTGGTGGTACTGCTTTTTTTAATATAATTGATAAGTCTAGGCCTTAAGTGGAAAATTTTGAATATTGATTAAAATCTGTCTTGATCATCTACACTATATCTCACTTTTTAATTTGAATATGCAGTCAAAACCAGCAGAATGATGAGTAGAAAACTACATATCTGGTGTCTTAAACTTTATTTCTTTGCACAGCTCGCATGATAAAATGCTGTAAAATGCAAATGCACGTTTGGTCTCTTCATTGTAGAAAACAAAAAGTTGTAAGCTCAAAGCAAACTGAAATATTCACATGATGTGCTGCCTTACCTGGCAACAGCACACTTTTCGGCTGGCGTTCACCGGGGCCTTGCCTTTAGACAATAGATGCGACTGAACCGTCAATGCCTGCGTTCTTATTTGCTTCAAATGTCATCAATTCAGGATTTGCAGGTAGAGTGGAAAGCATGAACGAGTGGAGTGCTGCTCATCGTGGTCACGAGCAGGCACTGAACAATGATTGAGACGTTCATGTGAAATACCCCGTTATGTGCCCAAGCTAAGATGAACTTCTTGGAAAGCATCTGCTAATGGGTGTAAAGAATTATAAGTGTTTGTAAAGTGCATGTTTAACAATCTCTAGTCTGTCTTGCACCTTCAGCTGAGACATAAACAAGCCTGTGGTATTGTCTGCTGTTGCTCAACTTCAATCTCTGGGATCACTTCATAAACTCAGAACTCATCCACCTCTGCCACATCATCTATTCTCCGTAATGATCCCCATCAATTTTCATAACCATTCCCTTACTCTCTTTTATTAGCCATCCATCTTTTCGTCTCAGAAGTTGTATTCCCCCCGCCCCCCTTACTCTTATCTTTGTGTTTCCTCTGGAGAAAACGGCCTCATTTCATTCTTGTTTATCCGCCTCAAACTTCCATCCAATTGTGCAACATATATATCTACTTTGCAATTCTTAAAGTTATAACCTGTTCGTGCAAACGGCTCAGAGTTTTCCATTTAAGATATTGCAGTCCTATGAGAAGGTTGTCAGACTGTTGTTTTTATCCCTTTGCCAATAGATCAAACACATGTCAGATAAATCAGTACTGTTTCTATTTCATGGTTATACAAGAAAGTACCATAATAATAATAATATATATATAATTGCTTAAGCATCTGAGCATTTATTTGAAATGTTATAAAACTGTGTTTTATTTCGATAACAGCGTTCAAGCCTTGATGAACAGTGAGTTCTTGTCTTTGCTTGGGGACACAGATGATGAAACACATCTCTCTGTCTTACCTCTCAGTCCACAACAGCCTAGTGTAACAGAACTATTGCTGTCTCAGAGCATATCTTCACGTGCTTGAAACAGTAAAGATGTGTGCATTTTATTTGCCTTCGTGAAAACAGTTAAATCATTAAGAAATAACCTTAACGAGATAATGTTTTTATTCTAATTTAGCAGCAGAGTGATTAATTTTTCTGTGACAGAGGGTGATTCCTTTTTTAATCCGCAGCGGCCACATTTTAATGTTTATTTAATTGGTGAATTTGTTTGACAATCTAAACAACTCCGCTCTCCTATTGGCTCAAATACATTAAACCCCGCCTTCTCGTACTTGTCGATTGGTGATAGGCCAAAGGAGTTCGAGAACGCCACGCCCCGCTAATAAACCCCGCCCCTTCCCACCGGCGTTCAATCGTGAAGCGGATTGAGTGCGCAGCTTTGCTGTGTGGCGCGTGAGTATGCGGGCAGGGACGTTACGGCTGCGGTACTGATTCACAGAAAGTACGAACAGAAACCCGGGAGGCTCCAGAGATCGGAAATTTACCGGAGGGGAGTTTACGCCCGCGCGGAGCGGCGAGAGGCACGGGGAGCTCAGAAGGGACGCTTGTTTTGGCGAATCCGACCGACGCTCGCGCGCAGAAATGGCGGAGCACCACGCAGCCAGCGACGGCAAGCACAAAGCTTCCAGCAATTCCGGGAGCTCGGTGCACGGGAACAGCCGACCGGGCGCCGCGGCTGGAGGAGGGGGCAAAGGAGGCCTGTCTGTCGGGCTGACCCAGCCGGCTGGGTGGCAGTCTTTACTCTGCTTCAGTATTCTCTTTCTGGCCTGCCTGGCAGGATTCAGCTCCAGACTTTTTGCCGTGATCCGGTTCGAGAGCATCATCCACGAGTTTGATCCATGGTAAGCTAGCTGATCAGAGGACGAGCTTTAAATCACTTCATGTGCTGTTTTTCACCCCCCCTTTTTTTCTGGAGCGCGTATTATCTTTGTGTAAGTTACTTTGAATAAGTTTGCGTCACAGCAGCAACGTAAACTTTATTTAGATGTTGGTTTTTATTTAGTAGCGCTCAGGATGAGTTTTCCCCTCAAACTGACCAGAAGGATTTATTGTATTCGTGTCCTTGGCACAGACTCTTTGTATAAAGAGGTCAAAGGTAAAGTGCTTGTGGACTTTTATTATAATGATCTAGGAATCTCAGCCTGCAACTCTGGTTTGACAACTCTGTTTGCTGATTTTTTTAAATATATATATATATATATATAAATTTTCTCTCACTCTTCTTAAAAAATCTTATAATATATCTACAGAGACAGGTACATTTGTACAAACACCATAACTGAGCTTCTGTATTCATTGAAAACAAGTTAAATGGTTTATCTAAGTGGGCTGATGATTGGGAGTGATTGAGGCTGTTTTCCAAGTTTCTTATCTTGGTGCTGATTTGATGAATAAGGAAGAACCTTGTGGACCTGCACCGTCTCTTGTAGGTTCTAGCAGCTGTTAGGAACCCCAGCAGGCTGCAGACGTGGAGCCAGCTGAGCTGGTCTGGTGAGTCTGCCATCACAATGCAGGATTATTCTGCTTTGGAACAGTGTGTCACATGGTCTCAAGTGGCAGCCTGGTTGCACTGTCATCCCCCTGTTTTCTCCACTTGCTGGCATTCAGCCAGCCTGATACATTCATTTATTAATTTTCAAGGACAGGTGCTCCATCTTGTTCAGGGTGACACTTACCTTTTCAATTATGTTGATAACTTGATTGCGTTTTATAGCCGAGGCTAAGGCGTAAGGCTGTGTGAGGTCGCACACGGTTCAGGTGGTCCTATTTGCGACGGAAATTTGCACAAGTGACCTTTGCTTGTATTAATGGGCGGCGCCATTTGTCACATAAGCATTAGCATCTATTGTGTTTTCAGCTTTTAAAGTTGGAAGAGTTTGGAGTACATTACCGGAGGCATTTTGCTCTACTTTTACAGGAGCACTTGGATCTGTCTTCACCGTGAGACAGTAAAGTGGCACCAGTTTCCACAGTCACAGAGCGGTGCAGCTCTTTGGCGTCATGTCACAGAAAAAGAGAGCAAAGGCATCCTTTGATATTCTAAAGTTTAAAAGCCCTAGAAGCAAAAAAAAAAAAAAAAAGTCTTCATCTGCTGTTCTCAAAAAGTTTCTTTTCGACCCCCGTAACAAAGCAGCGCTTCATTGGAAGTGTTTGTTGTAAACCAAGTTGTGCATGAACACTAAAGTCAGCCACAAAGTGATGTGCTCTTTAAATTGGAGTGCATCAAAACAGATTTACAGCTGAAACTTGTAGCTGAATACCGATATATCATAGTGGAAACCAAGCTTAAGCTGTTCTACATGAAAAAATAAATCCCCCCGCCCAAACAAACCATATCATTTAAACAACTGTTAAGAATTAGTTGGATTTTTCAGTGTGTTTTATTGATTGGCAATACACCCGGCTGGCTCAGTTCTTTTTGATTAAGTTCAACGATGCATATTATTTTCTTTGCTCTTTACAGAGGAGAGAAAAGTGCATGTTACGCTCACAGTTTGTTGATTAGAAAAGGCCTTCATTCTCAAACGCACCTGATTGGTGTCGTCATTGTGGGATGTTACTCGAGGTTTTTTCTTTTCTTCTGCACAAAGCTTTAAACTATCTGCAGCCAAGCATCACGTTAAACAAGCAAGCAATTTGTAGAATCGTGATTGGATTTAGAAGCCTCAAAATGTCAGACATGTTCTGCAATTCGCAAACACTAGAAGCTGTTATTGCTTTTTTTTTTTGTATTTTTGATTTTAATTGAGTTTATATAAGGAGCAGTTGTCTCAGGGCACTGTACAAAAACATTCACATACATAAAAAAAAAAGCCAATTAGTATAAGTTATTTATCTAAGGAAGCTAGCAGATTGCATTGAAGCTTCACTTCATCACAGTCTCTTCCTGAGCAAGCACCTTGGCAACAGTGGAAAGGAAAAACTCCCTTTCAACAGGAAGAAACCTCCAGCAGAACCAGTCTCAGGATGAGCGGCCATCTGCTTTGACTGGCTGAGGTTTGAGAGGACAGGAAGGAGAAACAAACATTGAATGGCAGGTCCAGGTATACCGTCAATTTCAGTTTTCTTTGTTTTCATTAATGATTATAAATGTTTCCTGAATTCATTTCAATTTGACGCCGTCTTTTCAAGCAATTAACACTTTTTCAGCATGCGAGCTACTTTTAAAATGACCAAGTAGGCCTGTCACGATAAGAAATGTTGCTGGGCGATTAAATGTCTCCGAAATTATTGCGATAAACAATAATATAGTTTGAAATTTGACAATAATTAGTAATTATTGTAAAATTTAAGAAGAAATGTTGGTTAATTTGTTTTGTGTGTAGTACCTTTGTTCAACCACCGGATGGCAGTATAAGATTGAACCGAAGGATGGATAGTGAGGGAGCGAGCAGTGTGTCTCTTTAAGAAAAATGGGAGGGAGACCCCTTGACGTGACATGAGCTGTCTCTTCTTCCTTTATTCGGTTCTCAAAACGGCGGACACTCGGTGTGGTTTGAGCTCTTTAGCATAGCATTTGTCACATAAAGCTTTAAAAAAAAAATCAGTAAATGAGTTCTCAGCTTCTTTTTGCAGAGAAAAATAACTTTTCAGACGAAGGCACGAGTTTCAACTGAATTTTGGAGCTTCGACAAGACGGAGGTTTTTTTTCCCTGAGGTCGGCCTGTTAGCTTAGCTTGTAGCATAGCTTCTCAGCTTAGCTGCTTTTACCAATACAAAAATGCGATTTTGGACGTTTAAAACAGGCTTTAAGACGAAAAGAGGAAGGGAGGGGTCAGTGAAGAGCACCAGAGTTGAGCCTTTTGTCATCCAGTGTCTTCAGTAGAAAGAGAGCGACGGAGAAACGATAAAGCCAATAAATGAAAATGAGGTTGATAATTTTCATTTTTCATGCGATTAATTGATTTATCGTTTATCGCAACAGGCCTATGACCAAGTCAAAGTGATCTACTACTACAAGACCCAAGTTTACAAGAGAACAACCTCTGGACACGTTAGTGTTTTTTCAATGTTTATTGAGGATAATAAACAAAAAAAATAAAGCGGGTTTACATGAAAACGCTGTAGTTTCCATGTCAGTTGGATTACCAGATGAGAAATTAGGAATTACTGTATATTGCTGTCACTTTAAAATGATAGTACCTAAACTGTCATGTGTGCCGAGTAAAGATATTCTGAGATGAGATGATTTGTTGAACATGTGCACAGAAAAGGAGGGGGTAATTAAGACATTTTCAAATTATCTGGCAACCTTGATGCAGGGCTCAGCTGCATTCATTGCACATGCAGCATTTGCATGACGGTTCAAACTGGTGAATACACTAACGTCTTTTTGGAACTGGATTTTATTAGTTTTGCTCCTACATGCTGAAAAAGGGTGAGAGGCACAAAAACGCTGCTCTCTGCCATTTATTATACAGTGAGCAAAATAAGTATTTGAACACCCTGCGACTTTGCAAGTTCTCCCACTTAGAAGTCATGGAGGCCGCTGAAATGTTCATCTTAGGTGCATGTCCACTGTGAGAGACATAACCTTAAAAAATAAATCCCGAAATCACAATGTATGATTTTTTAAAAATAATTTATTTTGTGTTACTGCTGCAAATAAGTATTTGAACACCTGCCAATCAGCAACAATTCTGGCCCTCAAAGACCTGTTAGCTCACCTCTAAAAAAGTCCACCTCCTCTCCACTTCTTATTCTAAATTAGAAGCACCTGTTTGACGTTGTTAGCTGCATAAAGACACCTGTCCACCCCACACAATCAGTAAGACTCCAACTACTAACATGGCTAAGACCAAAGAGCTGTCCAAAGACACCAGAGACAAAATTGTAGACCTCCACAAGGCTGGAAAGAGCTACGGGGCAATTGTCAAGCAGCTTGGTGAAAAAAGATCAACAGTTGGAGCAATTATTAGAAAATGGAAGAAGCTAAAGATGACTGTCAATCTCCCTCGGACTTGGGCTCCATGCAAGATCTCACCTTGTGGCGCATCAATGATCCTAAGAAAGGTGAGGAATCAGCCCAGAACTACACGAGAGGAGCTGGTCAATGACCTGAAAAGAGCTGGCACCACTGTTTCCATGGTTACTATGGGTAATACACTGAGACGTCATAGTTTAAAATCATGCATGGCATGGAAGGTTCCCCTGCTTAAATCAGCACATGCCCAGGGCCGTCTTAAGTTTGCCCATGACCATTTGGATGATCCAGAGGAGTCATGGGAGAAATTATGTGGTCAGATGAGACCAAAATAGAACTTTTTGGTCTTAATTCCACTCGCTGTGTTTGGAGGACGAAGAATGATGAGTACCATCTCCAAAAACACCCATCCCTACTGTGAAGCATGGGGGTGGAAGCATCATGCTTTGAGGGTGTTTTTCTGCACATGGGACAGGACGACTGCACTGTATTAAGGAGAGGATGACCGGGGCCATGTATTGTGAGATTTTGGGGAACAACCTCCTTTCCTCAGTTAGAACATTGAAGATGGGTCGTGGCTGGGTCTTTCAACATGACCATGACCTGAAGCACACAGCCAGGAGAACCAAGGAGTTGCTCCGTAAGAAACATATCAAGGTTCTGGAGTGGACTAGCCAGTCTCCAGACCTAAACCCTATTGACAGTCTTTGGAGGGAGCTCAAACTTTGTGTTTGTCAGCGACAGCCCAGAAACCTGCTGATCTAGAGAAGATCTGTGGAGGAATGGTCCAAAATCTCTGCTGCAGTGTGTGCACACCTGGTGACAAACTACAGGAAACATTTGATCTCTGTAACTGCAAACAAAGGCTACTGTACCAAATATTAACATTGATTTTCACAGGTGTTCAAATACTTATTT